ATTACCATTTTTAGGGTTAAACATTTGGTTTGAAAACCAGATATTTGCCCATTTTCCAGCAACGCTGGAAAATGGGCAGATATCTGGTTTTCATTCTGTCTGAAAGAATTAGTATGTAAGCAAGTAGTAAATAAATTGCCCAAGAGTTCCATCTAGATTGGCTAATATATGATAAACTTTTAAAATTAACCTTCGGAAATTTTTTTTTATTCCAAATGTATTTCACTACGTTAATCAGATGCTTCAAAAACTGTATGTCATCTCTCCATTTCAGTTCAATCTCCTTCAATTGTATACCACTATTGTCAAAGTTCAATGTTAAATAGTCATATTTACTACGTTTTGCTTCAACAAAATAATATAACAGTTCAGGTGTATTACCTCATCCAGACATAACTTTAAAAGTCAATCTAATATATGGTGTTGACAACCAACATAGAGAGGTTTAATGTCATTAATCTCCAGTGTTAACATTTGTAGTGTCTATCATGATTATTATCTTTATAGATCCTCATAAATCATATCATTCAAAAGTTCTCAAGGTCCTTCAAAAATTGTCTCTGACTTTCTTCTGCGACTCATTACTACTTTCGTGTTCCTCTCTGTTCTCATTCAGAATTGAATGAGAACAGAGAGGAAAACGACATTGATGACATTGATGGAACATTTACTAATTTAATTTTCTTTGAAGGATGTAGTTTTTTAGAATCATTAAGCTTCATTGTAGTATATCCCACTCTACCATTGTAGTATATCCCACTCTCTAATTGTATTAAATAAAGATTTTTATCTTCAGAAGATGCAGAAGTTCATCCTCTTTTCAGAAGATGCAGAAGTTCATCCTCTTTTCAGAAGATGCAGAAGTTCATCCTCTTTTCAGAAGATGGAGAAGTTCATCCTCTTTTCAGAAGATGCATAAGTTCATCCTCTTTTCAAAAGATGCATAAGTTCATCCTCTTTTCAGAAGATGCAGAAGTTCATCCTCATTTTCAGAAGATGCAGAAGTTTATCCTCTTTTCAGAAGATGCAGAAGTTCATCCTCTTTTCAGAAGATGCAGAAGTTTATCCTCTTTTCAGAAGATGCAGAAGTTCATCCTCTTTTCAGAAGATGGAGAAGTTCATCCTCTTTTCAGAAGATGCATAAGTTCATCCTCTTTTCAAAAGATGCATAAGTTCATCCTCTTTTCAGAAGATGCAGAAGTTTATCCTCTTTTCAGAAGATGCAGAAGTTTATCCTCTTTTCAGAAGATGCAGAAGTTTATCCTCTTTTCAGAAGATGCAGAAGTTCATCCTTTTGGAATATCTAATAAATCATTAAAACTATAAGTACCTGGTTTTTTGATTTGTCTCATTTTAATTAATTTTTCTATTATTCTTGGCACAGATCATTTGTTTATTATTGGAAAATTCAAATTAGCCCATAGTTCTCAACATTCATCTGAGATTTTCTTTATTTTTTTTTTCACATTTTTACAGTCTGATGCCAAGCTGGTGTATGCGGTTAATTATTTGCCAATTTGTTGGCTTTTTATTTATTGTTCATAAAGATTCATTAGATTTACTCTTACATAATCTTTTATTTTTCTTTAAGTGAATCTTTTTCTCAAAGTGAATTCATTTTCCATATGTCTCTTGATATTTTGGTTGAAGTTTTGTTCCCATATTGAATGATTGTGAAATGACTGAACTTGTAATTGTAAAAAAAAAATTAACAAATTTGTAACAAATAATTTATTATTTGATTAAATTACACAACGCTAAATTTCACTAATGAATAAAACGAAAATGTTTTCCCTCACAGAGAATTAAGTTAAATCAAAAATCAAAATGTTAAATTTAATGAAAATCGCTGCATAAAAGAGCTTAAAATCTTCTACTTCTGTTTTTAAAACAAATTTAGCACTGTGTAATTTATGGACAATCCCAATGTAAAGAACTATAATTCATTTGGTGTATTTTTTTTTTTAAAGTATGTACCTTAAAATTATTGTCATTAGTTTCAAAATATAAAAGCTCATAACTAGGTGACATGCTTTTTTGAAAATCTTAAAATTAATTTTTATTTTATACCCATATTGAGCATAGTACTACCAGGAAAGTTGTGGGGATCAAACTCAGAACTTCTTGCAAATGAGGCAAGTGTTCTACCACTACACCACTACCACATTGTGCCCTAATAATAACTAAAAATACTTAATTGTGATTGTTTTTCTTTTTCTGCGTACTTTATTTTCTGATTTATTTTATGTTTTATTCTAAAATAATGTATTAAATTCTTCTCCAATTTAAACGTTTTTAACTTTGAAAAAGTATTTCATTTATTACTTATAATCTTTGAATGTCATTTTCTTGTTATACGTTAAAATATGGTTAGAATTCAATAAATTTTTTTTTAATATATATATATTTTTTCTTTAATATATAATTATTTAGATATTTCGCTGATCTATTGTGATCAGCGTCATCAGGTATAATAAACAAAATAGTTACAAAATCGTTATAGTAAAAACAAACCATTAGAAAGATAACATTAAAAAGCCATAATATAATACAGAAAAAAACTTTTCAAACAACTGACGTCAGCAGATTTTATTAAAAAATGGCCCCCAGGTTTTGGTTGTTACGTTATCACCGTCATCCCTATTGAGAACCACATCACTATTTCTCAACTCCTGTTGAACCCTAGCCTTGCTTATTTCGAGTGACTCTCTGATTTTCCGAGTTTGATATTCTGGGGCTACAGATAATGTTTTGGGGTGCAACCAATCAAACTTACCATGGCATGTTTTAGAATGCTCAGTTGCACCCGAACTGGACCATTTTCCTTTTAAGCTGTTTTTTTGGTGTTCAATACATCTTGATATCACCTTCTTTTTAGTTTCGCCAATGTATATCGAACCGCATGAACATTTTAGCTGGTATACGGCAGTGTCTGTGTTTAGTGGTAGTTTAGTTTTATTGTTGCAGAAAATATTTTATAAATTGGGAGTTGATGTGAAAATAACCTTTATGTTTTGCTTTCGAAATTCTTTACGAAGTTTTGGACCAACAATTGGTATCCAAGGAAGTTTTATAAAGGGTTGGGTATCTATTTGTTGTAATGTGGTGTTTTTTGAACCGTTTTTTAAATAGTCTATAGTAATATTATTTAAAATGGTCTTGTCGTTGCCATTTTCAACAAAGATGTCTATTAGAAAATCAATTTCTTTTTGAAGGTGTTTTTGAGAGCATATTCTTTTAGCACGACATAAAAATCCTTTGAAAACGCCAATAATAATGTTAGGATTAATGTTCGAGTTAGGTTTAAGTTGAACATTTGTAATAGCTTCTTTTCTATGTATTTGAAATTCATAAGTTCCAGAGCCTGTGTTTGTAATGTTAATATCTAGGAAATTGAGTTGTTTGAGGTCGTTTTCAAGTTCCACTGTGTATTTTATGGCAGGATGTTGTTCATTAAGGATGTTCAGGAACATTTGTTGTTATTTTATTGAAGCAAAGCGAGCATGACAATCATCTACATATCTCTTGTAAGTTCTTGGTTCGGATGTATGAATAATTGCTATGTTAAGGGCTTTTCTTTCTATATTTTGTAAAAACGCTTCCACCATAACAACCATTAAAGATAAACCTATAGGACCTGAATTAGGTATTATTTGGATATTGTTTTCATATAAAAAATAGCATATACTTAATGAAAGTTCAATTAATTGATGTATGTCTGCAAGAGTAAGTTTAGTTCGAGTTTTTTAGTCATTAATGTCAGCGTTCAATATATCAATAATAACCGGAATTGCTTTGTCAATGGGTATGGATGGATATAAATTGACTATATCAAATAAAACTTGAACTTTGTTAGGGTTTATTATCCATTGCTTAGCTTCATCTACAAAACTATTAGAATTCATAAGTCTACTTTTATTTTTGTTCAGAGTCGGTTGAATAATTTTAACAAGATAATCAGATGTTCCGTAAGGTGGTGTGTTAATTTTTGATACAACAGGGCGCATTGGGTAATCTTTTATAGTTACGATAGTTTTATTTCCTCTGGTAAATTTATATTATTATTGCATATGTCTTCCCATTATTTTTCCACTGATATTGAAAAAACTCTTACTACCTAAAAAAAAAATCATACAATTGAAAAAACTATGTTATAATTTTTTTTATTTTTTTTAAGCTGCTTGTGATTACTTTATATTTTGATAAACTTCATTTATATAAACTTTAAATTAACTTCTAACATTTAAACGAGTTTGAAAAACTTCTAACATTCTATTTATATATTCTTGTATTTAACATTATATTCTATTTATATATTCTTGTATTTAACATTATATTCTATTTAAACAAGGTTCAAAAACTTGACTTTAAAATATTACTATGAAAGCTAAAGAAAAAAATCAAGTATTTTGTTTGGATTCCCCTTTTGACTCATTACTACCTCTCTCTCTCTCTCTCTCTCTCTCTCTCTCTCTCTCTCTCTCTCTCTCTTTTGATTTATATATACACATATATATATATATATATATATATATATATATATATATATATATATATATATATATATATATATATATATATGTATATATATATATTTGTATATATCCCATTAAAACACTTGAACATCTATCAAACATCTAAGCAATATTTAGACAGATTTCAAAGTTTATTTTTTAAGCTTAAAAGATTATTAAAGCTAAAACCCTTCAAAAACACTTAAAAAATAGTTTATATATAAACTATTTTATAAATGTTTTACAGTTTTAATAAAGTGGTCAAAAAACAAAGATGTAATTTTTAGTTCCTATTTTTTTATGTTTAAAATTTTTATTACCTAATCTTTAAAAATCATGTTAAAAAAAAAAAGATTTAGGGCTTGAAATGAGACGTGAGTTTAACTTTGAGGGAAACTGATTTCCATCTCTGCTAAATAGTTGTCACATTTTAGAATTAAGGAATAAACTTTTTGTGTAAATAATTAAAATTTTTTTTATTTTTAGGGAATTCATGTAATCCTCAAAATTGTAACAATGGTGGTTATTGCTCTAACAAAAGTTTATCCAAATGTTCATGTGTAGATGATTGGTTTGGTACTTTCTGCCAAATAAATACAAGTATGTAGTAATATATTTTATAATAAAGCAAAATAAATTGAAATAGAAATTTCCGAAATTATTTACCTCTTGTTACAACAATTAGCTAACAACTAGTTACTTAGCTAACAATTAGCTAACAATTAGGTAACAATTAGTTACCTAGTTGTAAAAGTTAATGATTTTTAAGAAAGCTTGAAAAATAGTAATGTTACGTCGAAAAGCTTGTTTTTCAGTTTGATTTTAAACTCTCAATAATTTTAGGAAGAAAATATAAATTTTACTCTATTTTCCAAGGATGAGAGTCCCACTACATTTAAGGATGCTACTACTACTACTACTACTACTACTACTACTACTACTACTACTACTACTACTACTACTACTACTACTACTACTACTACTAATTTTTTATTTATATTTTTTTTATTTTCTAACAACAAGTCTTAACTCTTTAATTCTGAAACATGATAATAAACATAATGATAAAAAAGGTGCAAAAGGCAATTATTAGTTGATTATAACAAAGATTACTACCAATATGACCAACACAGTACTGCCACAGGCATAGTGAAAATTGAATTTTATACTTCTTGCACACTAAATTGTATACACTAAGACACCATTTAAAAATATATATGACTGACTGATTGGCTGATTTAAATATGTAAGACACTCAAAAAAGTATTTAGCAAACTTCAAAAAGAATTAGAATTAAAATGTACCACATTTTATAAATGTCTCAAATAATTGAAAAAGTTGAAAATTAAATTGAGCCTCTATATTAGCATTGAGACCCTTTTATCTGAACATAGTGGACATAGAGATTGACTCTTTATCCAAACATAGTGGACAGATTAAATGTGAGTGTTTATTTATAGTTGAATTCAGACTTTAAAATAGAGAAAGAAAACAAAAAATATATTTTTATATTAAATGAGTGAAATAAAACTAATAAAAGTAATAATGGTAATAATAACTTCAACAATATTTTGAGTGGAAAGAAGAAGATTATTAATGATGTACAAAGACATATCAGTATTTGGTCCATGTTGAAAATAGTTTTAATCAAGGAAATAGTTTTGTTTTTTTGATGTTTTTAGAGCAGTTAGAGTTTTATTACAGATGGAAGCATGTATTCCGTGATAACCAGTACATGCATTCTGTGATAACCATTACATGGAAACATGTAGACACTTTTTATTTTAATAGGTGACAAAAACCTTGTAGGCCAAGCGCAATTTTTATATTTTGATTGTGTTAATCCATGTTTGACTGAAGTCGCTTCCTTTTTGTTATATGACTTTGTGCATTTACTCTGTAAAGCATTGTAAGAAGGAGACGACAAACTTGTTTTTTGTTCCAACTGTTTAAAAATAAAAATATTGATAAAATTTACAGACAATAATCCGACAATAATAAATATTGTTTTTCATTTAAATAATTTTTTTTTAGAACCAGAACTAGTGTCTGTAATTATACAAATTGGAAGTAGAAATGTATGAATTTTTTTCATAGATATTTTCTTTTGTATTTATTACTTTTTAGTCCAAATATCTTAATTTTTACTTATTTGAATTTAAAAATTTTAATGTGTGAAATCTAAATTTTGTTTTTTGTTTCAGGTCTCAATAGATGACATTTTAAATGCATTTGTTTCTTTTTTCTCTTCATACTGTACAAATAATGAATGCTTATATGCTGATCTTTCCCGAAAGTAATTTTTTTTTTTTGTAAAGTTTTTCATACATTAGATAGATTTAGTGATCTAGGCAGCCAATTATATTAGGGCAGCAGACTTAAAATGTTATTGCTACTCAATTACATTTTAAGTTTTTATAAGTAAATAAATTCCCTGTTTATAAAAAAAATTATTTTAAAAACATGTTTAGTTCAAAAATACTTTCGAAATAATAATAAAAACTATGATACTTATGATAATAACAATAAAAGAATCTTATGATAATAACAATAAAAATCATCTTTAGCTATTACTATCATTACAAAAGCAAAGCGTTATAATGGTATTTAAACTTATAAAAATATTTTAAAAAATTATAAAAATTACATATTTTATGTCAAAAAATAAATTATTTGTATATATAAATAAATAAAATTTAGTAAGTAAAATTTAGCAAGGTTTTTGTGATTTTAAACTAAAACTTTCTTGCATTTCAAAAAGTCAATTAATAAACTTATATGTAAGGTTGGCACTTTTAAACTTAACCAAATATATATATATATATATATATATATACATATATATATATATATATATATATATATATATATATATATATATATATATATATATATTTGGCCTTTGCCGATGGCACATCACTAATATATATATATATATATATATGTATATATATATATATATATATATATATATATATATATATATATATATATGTATATATATATATATATATATATATATATATATATATATATATATATATATATATATATATATATATATATATATATATATAATAGGTCAGGTCAGGTTTTCCTGCTACTGGTAACATGTAACCCAGTACAACCTGCTCCATGTCCTGCTGCCTTGTAGGATACGCTTTTTTAGGCAAAGGCTAGGAGAAGTTAACTCCGAATTAAAACACCCCCTGCCTTGGGGCTCTTGGTTGAGTAAAGGCTAGAGATGGTGTCTCGATAAAAATACTCATCTTGGGCAGATGTTACATGCATCCAGCTGCTGTCTTGTAGAAGGCCTCCTAGGCAAAGACTTAAGGGGTAAACAGATTCTATCTGTTGACCAGCCTCGCACCCCTTCCTCATCTATTAGGCTGGCGCAGATGTATTTTTAATACACTGTTTCCAGTTTAGGATGTTGAACGCTGGATCTTCTTGACTCAATGCGTGGGTATTGCTTGTGTCTCTATTTTTATGACTGGGCAACTCATTCTATTATCTCCTAATGAGGGTACAGCTCTAAAACTCAGTTTTATGGTTCTGAGGCCGGCTGGTAGTCAGGTTTCCCGAACTCTGTGGTAGCTCTCAGAGAGGCTGATTCCATCAACAGCCGAAAAATATCAGAGTACTAACAGTGCCATGTTGCGCATGGATGGTGTCCCTGTTTGTACTTTTGGTGTGCATTGCAGAGGCCACATTTGGAGCCCTTTGTTACGACTTAGGGTTTATTAATAGTAATGAGGCTATTGCTTAGTTGTTAAATAGTGTACTGAGTACTATCTATACTTGAGTCAAGTTCTTTATAAATTTAAAATGACTAAAGTACCTAAAACTAAAAAACACAAAAAACCATTGTCATCACCAAGTTCTCTAAACCTATCATTTACTAATATTCGTGGTCTTCGAAGTAACTTTTCTTCTGTTGAGTCTTGCTCTTTGTGAGACTAATTTGAGTTCGGCTGTCCCATCTTGTGATCTTAGTGTTGATGGTTATCTTCCTTTAATTCGTAAAGACTCCAATAATCACATGCTTGGCCTAGGCATCTACATTCATAAAAACTCACCCATTTGTCGTGAAACTAGGTTTGAATCTACAGACTATTCATTTATGTGCTTTCGTTTAGCACAACTTCACTCTATCGCCTTTCTCTTTGTTCTATATCGCTCTCCTTCATCCCAAGACTGCAATATTCTTGATGTTATTTCTGATCAAATTGACCAAGCCCTCTCTCTTTATCCATCGGCCAATATCGTCGTTGTTGGTGACTTTAATGCCCATCACACCGATTGGCTTGGCTCTAGTGTCAGTGACTCTGCTGGCGTTAAGGCCCTCAACTTTTGCCTTTCTCAATCTCTAACTCAAATAGTCAACTTTCCAACTCGTTTTCCAGACAACCCTAATCATTTACCTTCTCTACTCGACTTATGTCTTGTTTTGGATCCTAGTCAGTGCTCAATTTCTCCACATTCACCCTTAGGTACTTCTGATCACGGTTTGATCTCTCTAAAACTATTATCAAATTCTTCTACTTCATCAGAATCCCCCTATCATCGTACCACATACAACTACCTTAAAGCTGACTGGGACTCTTTTCGTGATTTTCTTCGTGATGGCCCTTGGGTAGAAAGCTTTCGTCTTCCTGCTGACAAATGTGCTTCTTACATAACTTCGTGGATTCAGGCTGGCATGGAATCTTTTATTCCCTCTCGACGATTCCAGGTCAAACCTCACTCTTCTCCTTGGTTTTCCTCACATTGCGCTGCAGCAATTTCTAATCGAAACCGTTACTTCCATATCTATCAGCAAAACAATTCTCCAGAAAACAGACATCTGTTCACTATCGCCAGAAACCATTGTAAAAAGGTTTTGTCTGACGCCAAAGCTCGCTATTCCCAGGTCATTAAATCTCGTATCTCATCACAAAAATTAGGCTCTCGAGACTTCTGGAGAATCTTTAACAGTATCAATAATAAGGGCAAATCTTTTATTCCTTCTCTCTTGTATGGTTCAGACTTTGTCACCTCACCTAAAGACAAAGCTGAATTGTTTGCTAAGAACTTTTCATCAATATCATCTCTTGATTCTACTAGTTGCGTTTTACCTGACATAGCCGTCAAACAGGTTGATCCCTTGCTTGACATTCGCATCACTTCAGCTTCTGTATCTAAAGTAATTTCCTGCTTAGACTCTTCAACAGCTTGTGGTCCTGACAATATTCCTGTTGTAGTTTTGCAGAGGTGTTCTCCGGAGCTTTCATCCATACTTTCTAAACTATTTAACAAGTGCTTATCAGAGTCTTGTTTTCCATCATGCTGGAAAGCAGCATCTGTTATCCCTATTTTCAAAAATTCCGGAGAGCGATCTGATTCATCTAACTACCGTCCCATTAGTCTTCTTCCTGTCATAAGCAAGGTTTTTGAATCTTTAATCAACAAACACTTAATCTCTCATCTTGAATCAAATAACTTACTTTCTGATCATCAATATGGATTTCGGTCTTCTCGTTCTACAGCTGATGTGCTAACAGTAATAACCGATAGGTTTTACCGTGCATTAGATAGAGGTGGAGAGGTTAAGGCTATCGCACTTGACATTTCTAAAGCTTTTGATAAAGTTTGGCATGCTGGTCTTCTCCATAAGCTTTCTTCTTATGGTGTAGCTGGTAACGTCTTTAAGATTATTGAGTCCTTTCTTTCCAATCGTAGTATAAAAGTTGTCCTCGATGGACAACACTCTTCTTCACATCCTGTAACTTCAGGGGTTCCTCAAGGTTCAATCCTTGGCCCTATACTCTTTTTAATTTACATTAATGATCTTCCAGATATTCTCACATCTAAGGTGGCATTATTCGCTGACGACACTACCATTTACTCTTGTCATGATAAGAAGCCTACACTCTCTGATTGCTTGGAGGGGGTATCTGAGCTTGAAAAGGATCTCACTTCTGCTACAGCATGGGGCTCACAGTGGCTGGTGAACTTTAATTCAGATAAAACTCAATTTTATTCGGCCAATCGTTATCGTAATAATTTAGATCTTCCTATATTTATGAATGGTAATGTACTAGATGAGTCATCTACCATTCATCTTCTAGGATTAACTCTTACTTCTGATCTTTCTTTTAAACCGTATATCAAATCCATTGCAAAATTAGCATCTGCTAAGGTTGCATCTCTTTATCGAGCTCGACACTTTCTTACTCCAGATTCTATTCTCTATCTCTATAAATCTCAAATCCGTCCCTGTATGGAATACTGTTGCCACATCTGGGGCGGATCTTCTAATGATGCTCTTTCTCTTTTAGACAAGGTGCAAAAACGAATTGTAAACATAGTTGGACCTGCTCTTGCAGCCAATCTCCAACCTTTGTCACATCGTCGTAATGTTGCTTCTCTTTCCCTTTTCTACAAATACTATAATGGGCACTGCTCTAAAGAGCTAGCGTCCCTTGTGCCATCTACTAAAATTCACTCTCGTGTTACTCGCCATTCAATTAAGTCTCATCCTTTTTCTGTGACTGTTCCTAAGTGCTTCAAAAACTCTTATTCTTCTAGTTTTTTTCCTCGAACATCAGTTCTTTGGAATTCGCTTCCTTCATCTTGCTTTCCTGATTCATATAATTTGCAATCTTTTAAGTCATCAGTCAATCGTTATCTTGCTCTACAGATTTAGTCTTTTCTCTTCCAGTAACTTCCAACTCTTATAGTGGTTGCTTGCAGCCTTGTTGGAAGTGAAGATGTTAAAAAAAAAAAAAAAAAAAAAAATATATATATATATATATATATCATGAGTTTTCTTTTTTTGAAAATAGTTTTTACAGTATTTAGATGTGTGTTTTGAGTCATTATCCTGTTATATGGTGAACCCATGGCCGGTCAGATGCTTTCCACAAGGCACGGCCTGTCTACGTAATATTTTATGATATCCGTTTTTATCGGGAATTTATTTTCACAAGATTACCAACCTGATAAGAAGCAAAACAGCCCCAAATTATTATTGAACCTCCCCTATGTTTGACAATAATCTGTATACACTGGATAAAATTTTTCAGTTGCTGTTTGTTGCACATAAATTAGTTGCTTTGTTCCAAAAATAAGAAATTTAGATTTGGCTGTCCACAATCCATTTTTGCCAGTCTATATCTGTCCAACTTGAATGTGTTTGAGCCCATTGAAGTCTTTATTTCTGATTTATTGCTTTTAGAAGAGGTTTTCGAACTGCTATTCTACCATTTAATCCAACAGTTTTCAAGCGGCGTCTTACAGTTCTTTCTGAAATAGTTTTTTTATGAGCAGCATTAAAGTTAGATGTTCTTTCATGGGCTGTTAATCTTCTATTTTGTTTACATGAGAGTATAACTGACTTGTCTTTAGCCTTTGATGTTGCACAGGGAAGTCCAGTTCTTTTCCAATCTTTATTTGTACCAGCACATATAAATCGATGAGTAGTATCACTCACTGTTGATTGTGGTATTTTCAACAATTTTTGAATATTTCTAGTAGAATGACCATTTGCCAGAGCAACAACTGAACAACGTGTTTTTAGTGATAAATTCTTTGACATTTTATATTATTTTCTAAAATTTTTATCTAAAAATAATAAAAAATGCAAATTTGGAAATGAAAATCTGGAAATTAAAAATGCAAATCAGGAAATTAAAAAATAATATCAAATTTAATTCATCTATGTAAAGTATTTAATAATCCAATATATTGTACTAAATTCAACAAAATCATGTTTTTATGACAAAAGAACAGTTAAATTTTATTTACAAATTTTTTACTAAGTATGTTCAAGCATGTTTATAATACAAATACGAAAAAAACTTAGATTTTGCAATACAATATTAAAAACACATTAGCACATCTTAATTGAATTATTAAAATGGCTTATAAACTGAAGCACTTGTATAAAGAACAACAACAATTTTAATTCTTATAAGTTATTCTACTCTAAAATAAACAAAGTAAATAATCAAAACACAACATAAACAATTTTAAAATTCAATGTTAATTATTACAAGTTTATTTAACACATTAGCGTACCTTAATCAAATTATTTTATGACTTATAAACAGTTTTAAAATTTCATATAATTTATTATAGGTAAAAAAACTATTAAAACTTTGAGTGGCCAGAAACTTTTGCTGGGCAGTGTATTTATATAAGTTCACCTGCTACTGAGAACCCCATGCTGTAGCAGAAGTAAGATTCTTTTCAAGTTCAAATGTCCCCTCTAAGCAATCAGAGAGTGTTGGCTTCTTATCAAGACAAAAATAAATAATAGTATTACCAATGAACAATACCACCTTAGATGTGAGAATTTCTGGGAGATCGTTAATGTAAATTTAAAATAGTATAGGACCAAGAATAGAACTTTGAGGAACCCCTGAAGTTATGGGATATAAAGAAGAGTGGTGTCCATTGAGAACAACTTTTATACTACGATTGTTGAGGAAGGGTTCATGATTCTTAAAGGTCTTACCTGATACACAGTAAGAAGAAAGCTTATGGAGACGACCAGCATGACAAACTTTATCAAGTTTGGCATGCTGGTTGTCAAAAATGTCAAGAGCAATGACCTTAATCGCTCCACCTATACCTAATGCACGATAAAACTGTAGCAGTAGAACAAGAAGATCAAAATCCATATTGATGATCAGAAAGTAAATTATTCAAGATTTATTAAATTATTCATGATTGTTAATTAAAGACTTAAAAACTTATGATAGTAAGAGGACTAATGGGACTAAATAGTAATGAGTCTAAATAGTACTAAATAGTTACTAAAAATAGTACTAAATAAAAATAGTACTAAATAGTAATAAGTTTTAATAATTACTAAATACTAATGAGTCAAATGGCTCTCCAGAATTTTTGAAAATATGGATAACAGATGTCGCTTCCCAGCAGGCTGGAAAACAAGATTCTGATAAGCATTTGTTTAAAAGTTTTGAAAGTATAGACAACAGGTTTAGGGTTATTCTTTCTAATCTTTAGTTTCTTTAAAAACCAATGCAGAAGTTCAGTGTTCTTCTTATACTAGTTGGACCACATTGTATCTTTTAGTGCCTATTATATAACAGACTTACAAAATCCTTTACCAAAGACTTAATTAGGCTTATTTATTATTGTCAAAACAACGGCTTTATTACCTGAGTTTGACTGGTGGGAAATTTGGTTGAATTTCACTTGCTGAATATCAAGTATGCCCCAATCTAATAATACTGTTGTAATAAAAAGTTTTAAACAAGTTTGTTATAAATACTTGTAAATTTTGATTTAATTATTATTCAAATATAAAAAATTTTAAAAAATGTGTTATCTACCTTTTCTTAAACAGCTATTTTCCAGACACCTATGTGAAAACATTATTTGCCATTTCACAGCCATAGCTATGTAAAAACATTTGGCATTGTACAGTTATTACAATAAGTTTTTTGACTCTTGGTAAGTATTTATAAAGTTTATTTATAATTAAGTTTTATTTACAAAATTATATAAAAAAAAGTTACACAGTAAAATTAAATTTTTTTTTGTAAGATAGTTTTAGAATATAAAGGTCTTTGTCAGTCATTATTAACTTGTAAATAGGTTTGTTCCCAGGTAGTTAATAATAAAAGTTTCTTGTCTTTTGTACCTTATAAGTTTGATTTTTGTTATAATTAAAATTTATATAATCTTGGCCTACTAATGGCACTTGGCCAGCCCAATGGCACCGCGTATACTGCATATAATTCCCAATATGTTTAAAACTTCCAAAATTCAATAACTTTTTTTTTTTACGAAGTAATAGGACAATATCATTAAATATTCCCAATATTTTGTAGAAAACAATAACAATAAATATTCCCAATATCACAAAAACGGGGTAAAAAATATATTCCTGGCTAACACCATGACTATGGATTTACTATTTGATTTTTATCCTTAATGGTTATACAGGGTGGCCACAGCTTCTCTAAAATCCTCTTGAGTCCTCTTATTTCAAAAACCTCCTCTAAAATTCTCTATTATCCTCCATAAAGATAAAATCCCCTTAATTAAATGCAAAATCTTCTCTAAAATCCTATATCCTTTTTTTCTCATAAAAATTTTATGTGGCTTGTTATATCTGAGTATTTTAAAAAATATTTTTTTTAATTTGCAAAAATCATATTTCAACTTAAGTGACCATTATTGCGATGTTATGTGTCATTTAAAGAATTATTGAAACATTTTTATAAAATACACTCAGTCTAGTCGAAATTAAAAATAAAATAGGGGAGGGGGCATATTTTTTTTGAACCAAAAAAATTTCCTGAACACATCCCTCTCCTCTCTCTCTCTCTCTCTCTCTCTCTCTCTCTCTCTCTCTCTCTCTCTCTCTCTCTTTATCTCTCTTTATATATATATATATATATATATATATATATATATATATATATATATATATATATATATATATATATATATATATATATATATATATATATATATATATGTATATATATATATATATAAATATATATATATATATATATATATATATATATATATATATATATATATATATATATATATATATATATATATATATATATATATATATATATATATATATATATATATATATATATATATATATATATATATATATATATATATATGGGTTTTCGGTTTTTTTAGTTTTAAAATTTTTGTATTTTTTTAGACGTCGTTCTTCTACAATGAATGTATCATTTACAAAAGATAACTTCTATATATCTCAGTTTCAATACCAAAATGATTTCCTAAATATTGTATTTGCGATTGTCAGTTCAATGGATGTTGTTATGAAAAAAGAAAGTATTGAAGCGGGTTTTAGAAATTTTAGTAGTAAATTTGAAGATTTTTTTAATGTTTCGCTGCTTCATGTGGGCGGCATAAAATACGCACAGTTACAGAGAAGACGTGAACACAATTCAGTATTTGTACCTGTAATAGTTAGTTTGATTATTGTCATAAGTGTATTGTTGATTTTGCTAGTTTACCTGAAGTATAAAAAAAGGTATTTAAAAAAATATTTATATGATGATATTGATGATTAATTAAAAAAATACTAATATTAATTTTTATATTTTGTGCAGGCCTTTTTTGCGCCATTCTCAAGTTCATTGGTCTTTTAGAAACCAAGAGTACAATGATACTTTCCCTCATGAAACATCTCTACCTACAGATTTACCTCCAAGTGCTCCCAGTTATATAAATCCTATGTTTCATGCGACTAACTTTGATCATTTAGAAAATGATTTTGAAATTAAAAAGATTGCTCCAAAAGAAGAAATCAAAATAGAAGCGAGCAATTGGGTTCAATTTACTGATGACGATGAACCAAAAAAATTTCCTATAACAGAGTTCGTCACGCCATACGATCTAGATTTAAATCAGTCTTTACCGCTGACCACTAACAGTTTAATCAATAATTTATATGCAGATAACACTGATTTATTTGGAAGAAATGATAATCCGTTACCTAGTTACGAGTCCGTTGTTTTATCTCAATCAACAACAAGTCTTGGTCCGAGAATGATTAAAGTTTCTTCAGATTTTTCTGAAGAAAAAATTAATTAAAATAATAATTTTAAAAATTCAATAAAATAAAGTTTTTTGTTTAAAAATAAAAACTTTACCAACATTTGTATTTTACCTGTTCGCTTTGTTACCAACATTTGTACTTTACCTGCTTGCTTTGTTACCAACATTTGTATTTTACCTGTTTGCTTTGTTACCAACATATTTTTTTACCTGTTTGCTTTGTTACCAACATTTGTATTTTACCTGCTTGCTTTGTTACCAACATTTTTTATTTTACCTGCTTGCTTTGTTGCCAACAATTTTATTTTACCTGCTTGCTTTTTTACTAACATTTGTATTTTACCTGTTTGCTTTGTTACCAACATTTTTTTTTACCTGTTTGCTTTGTTACCAACATTTGTATTTTACCTGCTTGCTTTGTTACCAACATTTTTTATTTTACCTGTTTGCTTTGTTACCAACATTTTTATTTTACCTGTTTGCTTTGTCTTTTTTATTTATAAAATAATGTAGTATAACTATTATTGTTATAATTATGGCTAATATCTTTTTTTTTTTAATTTTTTATATTTATTGTTGAATAAAATATTAAATATGCGTTTAGTTTTAGATTATTAAACTGTAACTCTGATCATTGTATTTGAATCTCAGTTTCAAAAACAGGTTGAGTTCAGTAGTAATGAGGTGTCATAAAACGATCGGCTGTCATAAAGCGATCGGGTGTATTTAAATGTTTATACACTAAAATGACAATACTCTAATGCTTATTATGTGAAACAATATGCGCAGAGTTTATGCTAGAGTTTCATTTTAGTTTTTATATATATATATATTTCTATATATATATATATATGTAATACAGATGTATAATATATATATATATATATATATATATATATATATATATATATATCCCCTATATATATATATATATATATATATATATATATATATATATATATATATATATATATATATATATATATATATATATATATATATAAATATATATATATATATATATCCCCTATATATATATATATATATATCCCCTATATATATATATATATATATATATATATATATATATATATATATATATATATATATATATATATATATATATATATATATATATATATATATATATATATATATATATATATATATATATATATAGGGGATTTAACGTATTTACATTATGCAAAGATACAACACATTTTAATATATAATAAGCTGAAGATTTAACAAATACATTTTACATATATTTTTAATAGAATTTTAGAATGTTGTCCATAGAGAGAATTAATTTTTTTAACATAATTTTAAAAACAGGAAGGGTAATAGAAGAATCACAATTTGGTAATACTATTTTATTCCAAAGACGGTGCACGATATGAAATACAAAATTGATTGAACTTAGTTTTACTAAAAAGTTCATTTAAAAAGCTATCATTTCTTAATGTGTATTTATTTATTGGTTTTAAAGAAAAAAGGTCGTTAAAAACAAATAAAGGTAAATCGTTTTCCATATAAAAGTAAGACATAAGACATTAACATATGTCTTACTTTTATATGAACATATGTTCAGTTTATAATCATATATTATCTTTGATAATTATTGATAAAAAATGAATGTATTTGACATCTACAAAAGCGAATGGGTTCAGGAATTTGTGACAGGAAAAAAAAGTTGTTAATTTATCTGACAATAAAAAAGTTATGAAAAAGGTAGACTCACTGATAAAGCTGTAAATACACTTCAGAACTCACGGCTGTTTCAAACCGAGCTTAACGGCTTCTTGTTATTTTTTGAAAATATTGACTAAAAGAGTGTTACTAAAACTTCTATAACTTTTAAAATAATCAAGATAATTTTGTTTTGTAAAAAGAATAATAACACCAATAAAATGTTTCATCTTATGACATTTAATGCATTAGTAAAAAAATTTCTTTAAGTTTAAAAAAAACGCGACAAATGATGACGTTGGCTGAATTCAAGTAATTTGATGTTACTTTTTATCAAAAAAAAATCAGAAAAATTTATTTCTGATAGTTAAAATCAAATATACCCATTGTTTGACTATTATAAAAACAAAAAAACCTTACTTAATTGTTTAAGGATAGCTAAAACAGACTTTAATGAGGTCTGAAAGCAAACCGCACTTTTCGCAAAGTTAAGAAAAATGTAGTTAAAAGAAGGATTAGCTGTTAAAAGAGTACATTTTTAAACCTAGAAGTTCTTGTTTTAGAAACTTATTATCCTAAGCCAATAAGTTCATTGCATTGCAATAAAAAGCCAGATTTCGATTTTGGAATATTTAGTCAAAACATTTAAAGCTAAAGCATTTATTTTTTTCTGTGCATACAGTTCTAATAATATGGTGTTAAGTTGTTAATAAATAAAGACTCACCAAGTCTAATAAAATAATTCATGACCAAATTTGAGTTTCAGTTTTTGAATTAACCTCGCTTTTGGTAGTAGAATTATTTTATAGCACTTGAATCTATAGTCTCTTCTCTCAGTAAATAAAGTGTTTGAATATACAAATAGCTAATTGAAATCTTTTGAAAATTTGTTTTTATTCCCATTAAAAACTGTTTTATAATCAGTTGGTTTACTGATAGGTTCTTTAAGAAGTAAACTATCTTTGTACATACAATTGATATCAGATTCATACTCATGCTAAACCAGAAAAACAATTGCTCCACTCAAAATTTTGAGAACGTTTATAAATTCTTAATTTATTGAACTAAATTTTTACACCAACTTGATATAAGATTTATATTCCATTCTTTAACCAGCGAGGAGGTATGTAAAGCAGAGGTACTGCAAAGGTAGAACTAACTTCTGGTGATAAACATCGAATGGATATGTAATATATCTATAAAAAAATGTTACATATAATGAAGAACAATACATCTTTTAAATTGAATACACAAACATAACAGATCATACCCAACCAACATACTAGTTGCTCTGATCACAAGTTAATATATAAAAGCTAGATTTTTACATACATTTGATGCAAGACTAGTATTCCATTCTTTAACCTGAGCGAAGGTATTGCATAGGTATAAATAACTTCTGAAGCTAGGAACAGAATGGGCACCTACCTAATATATAAAATCAATATATTAAAAAATAATATTTTAAACTAACATCACACAGATATTAGAACAAAATAAAATTATCTTATATACAAATTAAAGATCTCATATAATTTATCTTACTTTTTAATTTTTTTTTGTTGTTGTTGTTTTTAATTTTTTAAATATTTTAACTAAATTTGATGACCACAAACAAGACAAAGACCTTGTCTATAAAATGAATTTTCGCCACGCTCAGAACACACAACACACTTTCTCACCTTAGAGGCTTGAAGCTTCCTATCAGCTTTGCTGTGCAATTCAAAGCGTTTTAAAACAAGATGCAGCTTTTGCTCCTGATTTCTTACTGAATGCAACTGTCTTAATTCCTTATTTACGCTATTATGCAAACACTTTCCCTCCTCTTCACTCAGCAACCCAATAGTTTTATGCAATTTTACAAATAGTGGCACATTAAAAATGAGTTCATGCATTTTTCGCGTGATACTTTCTTTTGGAAAGCAATCATGAAATTCGATAGCAAATAAATTTATATATTGATGAAGCTCAGTAATTTTGGCATCTGAAAGAAATTTTCGCTTAAATAGAATAGGTTGCAACTTATTAAAAACACTAAACACACGTACAAATCTATTTTTAATAGCTTCATCATCAATAACACTACAAAGTTTATAGTGGTTTCTTAAGACTATTTTGCAATGATTACCTACGAACACATTACCGTGGTACGCTTGTCGCTCAACCTTCATATCTTCAAGGGCTTTATTAAGAGACCTCTCATGAGTCCCCATGCTACTTTTGGATATTTTTTCTAGGTCTTCACACTCCAACTGCAATTTAATATATTCAGTGTCTAAAACTTCGCGTTGTGCACGTATAAAAGAAATTTTTTCAGAAATATAAAGGTCAAGACATTCTATATCTTCACCCTGACATGCTAAACACTCATACTTCTCAATGTCACACAATACACTCTTTTCCGAATCACCAATAATTTCACAAAATTGATGAAACAATTTTTGGCACGTACCACACTGCACCCAATCAATGTTACAATCGTATTTTGTAATTAAACACCTAATACTATCACACATTTCTTGCTGTTTAAAGGTTATTTTTTTATTGGAGGAGTTTAGAGATAATTCAGAAATATTTTTATTAAAAGCTAACCAACGCGCCTGTAGATTTGCAACGTCTACAAATTGATTTCCTAATAAACGTAAAGCTTCTGCTGTTTTAGAACATTCAACGCTTTTAGCAGCCCACAATTCATTCGTTCTCACATTCTCATTATGCGACAAAGACGAAACAGCTTGACAATCTAAAGTCTTACACTCCTTCAACAATAACTTATACAGTTTTAACACAACTCCTAACATAATATGCAAAACAGGTGGCACTACATTATCTAAAGTTATTATGGGGAAAATCACAGGAGCAATAATTGAATTATGAAACTTACCTAAAGTTCTTAGGTTTCCACCTTGTCTATTTTCACACAAGTTCTCATTGTAAGCACTTTACAATATTCGTTAATAAATAGTTTGGGACGTAACGCATAAAGGTTACGTCATCGCAAAAAAAAACGTCAACACAAATGTACGCCTAAAACTAACAAGATTAGTTGTAAAACATGACATTTTTGAAAACATATTTCATAACATAGCTGAAGGCAAGTAAAATAATTTTTTTATTTTCATTTGCATAAAAGGTTGAAATTTTATTAACTTACGTCATCCATCAAAAAATTTATGTTTTGCATTTAAAAACGATTAATTAAAAAATATAAATGCTTTAAAAACAGTCTTTTTGTAAAAAAATCTCTAGGATGACGCAGGAATCTGATAGAATGGGCATTTAGGGTTAAGCATTTCAAATTTCAACTATCAAGCACTGAGCTATGTTATGAAATCTTAGTTGGCCCAACTCATGTTTTGCGGAAAATATGCGAAAATTAGAAAAGTGGTTCTAAATTATTAAAAATATTTTGGCAATATTTATTTTTATACCAATTAATGTAAATATTTATTTAACAAGGAAAGATAGATCTTTTATATTTTTTTAAATGCAAGATGAAAGCATTTATATAAAAAAGTTACTATTAATTTAAAGTTTGTGAATTTTTATACTTTTTATGCGGAAATCCTTTTTTTTGATAAACTCATGACGTCACGCTCGTTTTTATATTGAGTGAAACAGCCGTGAACTACTATGGAATGGCTGTTAGACAAAACTGTGACAATATTTATGTTATGAAAAAATGTATTTGGGCTGCTCTTTACCATAATTCAGACATAATTGACCCGGTTTAGCCACAGGTTTTGTCCAAT